GTTCAAACAGGAATCCGCCCAATTCCCTCCTGAGTGGGCCCGGTTTAGCCCGGTTTTACTGCTTTGGTTGCCTTGAAAAACAACAAACATAGATGGGGGGGCGCCTGAAACAAGAAGCACGCTCTAAGTCAGACCCGCGCCTCGTTTGGTCGTGGGACGTAGTTGACCACCTGTTGCGCTTGACTGCGGGGAGCTCTGGACCAATGGTGTAGCTATGCTACTTCTCCGTCGGTTGAGAGATCAGCCGTCTCATTCCTTCAGGCACTAACTTTATCAGCCGCGTTTGCTTCAGGCACGCTGCCATTGAGCTCAGCCTGGCTTGGAAGTTGTTCCGAGAATTGTGCCGCATGATGTTGAAGTGGCATGGAGCGCTCAAAGTATTGTTTGTGCTGTGTACGTACATGTGTGTAAATGTGTATTGTATATGTATATATATATATATTATATATATTAATATATGTATGCTTATATGTTTTACGTGTTCCGCTCATCTACATGTGCTTTACAAACGCAGCCTCTCAAACCCCTCAAACCTCTCAACCACCAACCTCACCTGGCCCAAACCCAAAACCGCACCCCCCTGCTGCCTCCACCTGATCAAAGTGGACGCGCCCCTGGACAAATCCAATCGTGCCACGCGGCTCCGGAACCCCAAAATGGGCTTCCGTTGTTCTTCGCGAAACGTTCACTCACAGCAAAAAACATGGTGCACCAAAAAAGAAGAGCCGAAATGAGAGCTCTGGCCTGCAGACAAGAATATGGATCTATCATAAGTTCGCGGATTTACTCTTAGATTCCCACCTTTTCGCTTGGGGAAATGTGACGCATGCTCAGACCCACGTGTCAAGGACCGTACAGACAACGCGCCAAGTGCCCAAATGAGCTGCTTGGTTGGAAGACGAGGTGTCAGCCTACAATGGGCTGACAGGCCAAAGGAGGCTACTTGTTTTTACCACATGCCAGTTTCAGCTGGGGCCTGAGCCGTGTCCAACTCGCTGCCGATGTAAAATATTTCTGTATATACCTGGCCGAGCCAGGGGTGGGCCGTCTGGACAGCTATACCGCGGACCTTGTCAAAAAAAAACGGGTTCTTGGAAGGTTCCGCAAAAGCGATCTTCGAAGGGTTCCTCGAGGCTGTAGGGCAAACTCAACAAGTATCAGCCGTTAGTCGAAGTTCCGAATCAATTCCATCAATTCCTGAAACCCCGCGCAGTTTTTGCCCAACTCGCAAAAACACTTTGTCGAAGTTCCGCGGCGCCGGAAATCCAGACCCACGCCCCTTCCCGAAACCTTCTGATGCTGAGTGAAACGTTCCGAAGCACCCGTGCAACCAAAACTCAAGCAGAACAAATAATTCCTACAAAACCGTAATCCTTTGTGCATCAATTCGCCTCAGCCGCCAGATCCGGGAAGCGGTCAGACCCCTTCAGGGCCTCGGAAAAACCTTCCCCAAAATTGATCCGTCCGACCCCCCCAGCTGCCTCCAGTCCGCCTGAAAGCCCACAACAAGTGAACTCCAACAAATCCGCCGACCCCTTGCCTGGTCCAGAATGGACCATGCTTTCGGCATGGGGGCGGTGTGTTCTGTGTTGCTTTTGTTGATATGCTTTCTGTAAGTTGAATGTGAATATGATTCTGTATATATATGTCCCTTGGGGCGGCTCTTGGGGCTGGTTTCTACGTCGGCTGGATTTCTGGATTTCTGGATTTCTGGATCTCTGGATTTCTGGATTTCTGGATTTCTGGATTTCTGGATCTCTGGATTTCTGGATCTCTGGATTTTTGGATTTCTGAGCTCTCTCCCCCCCCCTCCTCCCTCCCCCCCCCCCTAAAAAATGGTAAAAGTAGGGGGCCTGGGGGGTGGTCTGTTGATGGTCCCCTGTTATGTTTTTTATATTCATCTCAAACCTATTAACCACCTTATTCGTTTTTAAAAGAGGGTTTTTAGGGAGCTTATTTATCGTTTTCGTTAAGGTAATCAATTGGGTAAATTGTCGCCTTGTTCATTGTTGGGCTGGGGGCCGACATTTTTTTCATTTGAAAGAGTTGGCCCTTTTAGTAGTTATCAAGTTCTGGGGTGTTGGCGGTGCTTTTGTTTTCAGGGTTGGGTTTCCCTGTCGGCCCCGCCACGGCTTCGTCTTCTTCGTGCTCATCTTCGTCGAGGCACGCTTGGCTTGTTTGACGTCTAACCGTCGCTTCGACTGCTTCACTCTATCGCTTGTATGCGCTTTCCTTTTGACAACTTGATTGTGAGACTGACCTGCTTGGCATCTTGACATTTTGACAATGACATTGTTCGTTGAGACATCCACGAACATGGCATTTGTAGCATTTGTCGCATCAAGTCTTTGACAGTGATTGACCTTTCAGTTTGAAAGATGGCTCCTAAGTGTGGCTATAATCCTGGCCAATCCGATGAGGATGTGATGCCTGAGCCGTCCCTTGAGGAACAGGCGACCACCTTGACACAGGATGACGAGGCGATTGCTGAGATGCTTGCCATGCAGGACGCACAGGACGCAATGGAAGAGGAGGAAGAAGAGGAGGAAGAAGAGAAGGACGATGATGTTGTCGTCATGCTTGACCAACCGGCAGGTTCAGACCAGCCAGCCACGGTGACGGTGCCACGTTCGAAGACCAAGATGTTCTCCGCCAAGCTCAAGTTGGAGGTGGCAGAGGATGAGATTGAGAAGCTCACAGAGATGGTCGAGGGCATGACTCTGGACGAGGCTCAGAAGTGTCAGGACGAGGCTATGAAGCGTTTGACCGAGGCTTTGGCATTGAAGTCGCTGACGCAGAAAAGGCTGGTCACTTTGCTTAAGCCCATCAAGGAGGAGGAGACGAAGGCAAGACGTGTCAATCGGAAGAGACAAGAGTCAGAAGCAACGCATCAGGAGAGAGAGTCGGAAGTTCACATCAACTTCAGGTTCCAAGGGACGACCTATACCATCAATGCGAGACTTGGAGAGTCATGGGCCAAGGCGAGGGACAGGTTCTTGCACCAGGCTCGCATCACGAACAAGGTGGCTAAGGACTTGCTGTATGCTTTCGGCCAGATGGACTTGAACACGGTCATTGGTCCTAAGACACTCCGCAAGCTCGGCTTCACGGATGGGGCGATTGTCGTGGTGACCGTGCGGGGCTTGGGCGGGGCTCGGTTCTCCACCATCAAGCACCACCTCAAGCCCGAGGAGGCGAAGCAACAGTTGAAGGACAGGCTCACGGACTTCTTGCCGAAGGTGGAGACGGTGAATGACCAGAAAGTGCCATCAGAAGTCAAAGAGCTCGTCCGTCGCATGACGCAGTCCATGGACGAGGTTCAGCTCATGCGGGCACGCCTTGGCGATGGGTTCCTTGGTGTGTGCCTCCGCCAGATTTCGGAGGACACCCTCTACTTCATCAAGGACAACATCAAGAAGGATGACGGTGGTCGCAAGAAATACAGTGAGGAACGCCTTATTCCGCTGATGTGCTCCCTGTATCCCCCAATCACCGAAGTCGGCGAGGGCATCAAAGCCTTGAAGAACATGCAGGGGATGATGACCACGGCCATCATGCACTCCTTCTTGGACGCCTACCACTTTGACAAGGGTGGAAAGTTGGTGTATGACGTTTCCAAGTTTTCGCAAGATTTGGCCCACGAAGCCACACGTCGTCAGGCTCTTGCTGGCATTCCGTCCGAGGCACTGCATCAGGCTGAAAGCCCTTCCGTTTGCAGTGTCTGCTGATTTAAGCCCAGTAAGGCTTGGTCTCTGCTTGAACCAGGGTGACGTCCTCTCATTTTTACGAGGTAGGGACCCTCATTTTTACGAGGCAGGGACCCTCATTTTTACGAGGGAGGGACCCTCATTTTTACGAGGCAGGGACCCTCATTTTTACGAGGTAGGGACACGTGTTCTGCTGAGAGGTGGTCACACTGGAAAGCGGACAGGGATAGGTGGGAACTTTCAACATACCGCTTTGGAGATGGCCGTGAAAAACGAGAGAAGCCATTGAACCAGTTGAGACATTGATTGAGACCTGCTTGATTGATTGCTTTTGTTCTGAAAGACTCAGATGCTTTGATTTGATGCAGTTTTTGTTCAAGTGTCAGCAGTTGATTCACCAAAGTCGCTTTGCCTTATCACATGGCGTTGCTCGGATTGGTGCGGAACAAGATTGCAGACCTCTTGACATATCTAGCCAGTGTGCTTCGACCCAAGCCAGAGATTACCCATCATCATCGTGAGGAGGAGCAAGACGAGCGAACACCTTTTGACCCTACTATGATGGTGTTGGAGCAAATGGCCACCAGCTCAAATCCGTTTGAAGGCTCTGATGACAATGACGGTCATCGTGACAGCGACGACGATGACAGCACTAGCTATTGAACTGCATGAGATTTGGTAGTGCGTCCATCGCAGTAGGTAATCAAGCGATTACCCAGAAACTCATTTGGCGGACAGCAGGATGTGGAAAAGTGCTTTTCCTGTTTTCTTGAAACTGCAGTCAATCACCTCCTCAATGCCAGGTCTTCAATCGTCTTCACCAAGTTCCACCTGACCCGCAACGGCCCCGTCTTCACCAAGTTCCACCTGACCCGCAACGGCCACGTCTTCACCAAGTTCCACCTGACCCGCAACGGCCACGTCTTCGACAACTTCCACGTCTTCATCGTCTACACAGGTAGGTGGTCTGTTTGGTTTGGTGAGGTCTTGTTTGGCTTTTGGTTTTTCCTTTCTTTTGGTGAGGTGGCTCAGGTGCTTGTTCGGGCTGACGGTATGATGTCATGATGATGCTGATGTTGGATGATTTCTTCAATTTTCTCTTCCGTATCTCTGTTTCTATATCCATATCCCTTCATATCAGTCTCTAGTGTTGGTGGATGATTGATGGATGTTGGATGAGGCTACCATTTTGGCTAGATGCTGGTTGATGCGGACGTCCTGATGAGACGTTAGGTGATGCTGGTGGAGTGGACAAAAATGCTCACTAAAATATCACTAATCAACTCAGTAGGA